GCTCCTCCAGCAGCTCTGTGCTGCCATCCCCGGCAGGCAGAGCGCCCTGGCTGCCTTGCTGCTGCCTGCCCCTGCCCCAGGCTCACCCCGGGCCGGTCGGTGCAGGCAGGTCGGGGTGCCCGGGCCTGCCCCGTGCCCGGCAGAGCTGTGTGCACGCCATGCGGTGTGCTGCCATCTCCTTCCACTGCCGAGGAGGCAGCGCAAGAGCCTGCTGCCAGGGCCATGCAGGGGAACGGGGGGGTGGGCAGCGGGAGCCCCGACCCTCGAGGGGAGCCTCCTGTGCTGCCCTGGCTGGAGGAGCGGGCATGGGGGGGAGCAGGGGTGGCACAAACGGCTGCTGCAGAGCAGGAGGGTGCAGAGCTGCCCCTGCCGCGGGGGGCTGACACCCCACAGCCCTTGCCCAGTGTCCCCAGCATGGCTGGTGTCCCAGCCCGGCTCCACAAACCTGGCTGTGCTCCCAGCACCAGCCCCTCACTGTGTAGAAGCAGGGATGGGGCCACACTCCCACAGAAAGCAGGGCTCTGTCCCTGTCTCCCCGGCTCATGCCTGTGACCCCCGCACTGCGGGGCCATCCTGGGGCAAGGCACTGTCACCCGGGTGGGTGTAAAGTGACCTCTGGGACCTGCCTGTGGATCCTGCAAAGCCAGGGTCAGAGCAAGACCCTGCAAAGGGGGAGGGAGCTGCACCCCACAGGGCCCCCCCAAGAAAGGAGCTCAAGAGGGGTGTGGACAAGACGTTATCAGCAGCTGCACAGGCAGGGTGGGATCAGGGCCGGGCTGGGGTTGATGCCTGCAACAGGGGAGATTATGCCCTGGGTCTAACGTTTGCCCCCATCAGTGACCTGCCTGAGAGGGAAGGGGACAAGAAGCTATGGGGGGGGCTGAGCTGACAGCTCTGTGGGAACCCTGTCCCCCCTGACACCCACCAGCACCCCTGTCCAAGGAGGACACCCCACGTTGCAGCAAACCTCCCAAAACCCTGCCAGCATCACCCCTGCTGTGCCCACCCCATCCCTGCCCAGCAGAACCCCCACTACAGAGGCCCTGGGTGGATGGCTGCCATCACCCCTGCTCCAGGAGGGGCCCAGCAGCCCCCTGGCAGCCCTGCCAGTTCCCCAGCACCCTACCCCTGGCACGGGCAGGAAACCACAGCCTCAGCCTGCAGGCAGGCCGATAACCGTCACCGGCCCCATCCCGCCTGCACTCACCACCACCCGGGGAGGGGGCACACGGTACAGAAGAGCTGCACCCACACCATGCACATGGCAGCCCCACAGCACCCGTGTCATCCTGCACGGAGCTGGGGGCTCTCACAGGCTGTGCCAGCCATGCACAGGATGCATGTCCTGCACCTGCACAGGGCACATCCTGCCCCAGGATGCACCAGCAGCATCCAGCATGGGCACACGTGCTGCCAGCGCGCTCCTGGCACGGCACACAGCCCTGCACCTTGTGTGTGCAAGCAACACGGATGTGGCTGGGGAATCCCACAGCACACAGGGGGAGGAGAAGGTGGGGGGAGTGAGGTGAACACACAGGGGATGGGCAGGAGGTACCTGCCCTGACTGGGGGCGTGCAGCCCCTGCATTGCTGGCTATAAGCACTGCTTGCCCTGGGGGTCTCATCCTGCTGTCTCGCATGCACCCACTGCTCAAGGGAGCAGCTTTCACAGCAGCTTTGTGTTGAGCAGACAATACCATCTCTGGAGCAAAATCAGAGCCTGGCACCAGCACCCGGTGCTGAGCCCACCACTAACTCATCCACATTTCCCTGGGTAAAGTGGAGGCAGCAGCAGGGTAAGCTCGCACTGACCCCAGGGAGTGCTGCCATGTGCTCAGCCTCAAGCCAGTGCCCGAAACCCTGAGGAACACTCTGTCAACCACCAGGTAGCCACAACCCCATCCTGACATTGCCAGATAGTGCCAGGTACAGGCAAGCAACATGATGTAAGTGGCATCTCCTGGGCAGCCACTTTACTGCACAGAGGGGAGCAGGGTGGATGGCACGGTCCACCCAAGCATCACTAGTCACACGAAGAGAGCCTGGGCAAACGCACATGGACATGCAGGATGAGGCCTTGGGACCCGCTCACAGCACACCCATGTGCATCCCAAGGTGCCAGGCAGCCCCAGGGGCTGTTTCAGAGCCAGAGCCCACCCACACTGGGGCTGCCTGACCCCCCCGCCACAGTCCCTCTCCCAGTGCATCTGTCACAGGAGGCATGTGGCACAGCTCGGCCTCGTGACGGCGGGGGATGCACAGAGCCAGCCCCGCACAAGGGAGGGAAATGGCAAAGGGCCGGGCACATCCATCCTGGGACCTGAAACACGTGGGTCGGGGAGTCCTCCCTCCTGCCCACGGGCTGCACAGGCAGGCTCCCTGTGAGGCGGCCTAGGGAAGGTGCTGACCTCCGGAACATCGCTTCCCTGCTGTGAAGCTGAAGCAGGAGCCGGGCTCTGCTCCCCTCCTCCCCTCTGCACCGCCACCAACACTACAGGGGGACAAATAATGATCATAATAAAAATGATTACAAAAGCCAGCGTGGTGCATGCTGGGAGAGCAGCGCCCCAGGAGCCAGGACCCAGCCGGGGTCTGGATGCCAAGGCCTGCCCACTGCAAAGGGCTGAACCGAGCAGCAAGCCCTGCTCCTGGCACCCCAGGCACCCCGGTACCACTGCTGCTGTGCCTCCTCCACCCAGCCTGGCGCGCTCTCCTTGCTCACAGCTCCACCTCTGCGGTGGGGGCCAAAGTCCCCCAATCCCCGTTGACCCCAAGAGCTCCCCACCACCCTCGGGCACAAGAACCACAGCAGGTTCCTGGCTAAGCAGCACCTCCCTGCCCCAAAGCTCTTGCAGAGCAGGGTGAGGAGCAGTGAGAGGGGTGCAAGAGGAGGTGCAGTGGGGCAGGATGCACCCCTGGCGTGGCAGGGACCGCGTCACCCGCCTGGGAGGGTACAGTTTCTAACGGGCACGGCTGAGACCCCCCCCCAGCAGCAGCTCCCAGGCAGGAAACTCCTCCAAGTTAATGCAGCCCCAGAGCAGGCTGGGCAGCGGCTCATTAAATGTTTCTGGCTGGCGGGAGGCCAGCGGCAGAGCTTGTTTTCTCTATATTCCGATAAACAGTCCGGGGAGGGGAAGGGGGAGGGGGGCGCAGGCTCTGGATGTGCCACCCAGCCCCGGCGGGCAGCGGGGGGGGGGGCACCCACATCACACGCACCCGTGTGTCCTCCAGCACCGGGGGACACGGATGCGGCGACAGCACCACACGAAGCCACCCGCAGGGATGCTCCCAGCTGCGGGGTCACCCCTCAAGCCCCTCCCTGTCACTGCATGGAGGAAGGACCCCCCTCTTTGCGCCCACCAACATGGCGATGACATTCCCGGTGGCACAGGGCCAGCTCCCCGGGGATGCGATGGGACCCTGCCGTTAGACGCAGCCGCTCTGGCTTCACCTCTGCCCAGGGGCCACGGCAAGGCTGGGGGTGGCGGGAGGGGGGGTCCCAGGCGCGGGGGTGCGGGGTGCCCGCCGTGCGGGTGCTGTGGCTGCTCGGCCTGGCTCGCAGGGAGGTTCACGTGACTTTCTGCTTGAGGAAGCAGCGCTCTGGCAGCTTCCAGTGGGAGATGGAGGAGGAGGATGGGGGAAGGGGCCGCCTGCCTTCATGGAAACACGGCGGAGAGGCGCAGGGGAGGGGAGGGGGGGGCCGCCGCGCAGGGGCACCCCTTGCCCGCACCGGGGATGCAGCTGCAAACCCCTCGGTGGAGGCAGCGCTGGGGGATGCGCAGGGACCATGGGCTGTCACTGCATCCCGCTGCCCCCCAGCATGAGGGTCCCAGCCTGGCAGGAGGCTCATAGGATCGCCAGGCACTGGATCACTGTCAAAGGAGCTAGGATGAGAGGCGTCCCTGCTGTTCTCCTATAGGTACCCCAAGTGCTGGCTGCCCAGGGAGAGCAGAACCCCTTCCCTGGGGCCTTCCACTGGGATCTGGTGCTGGAGAAGGCTCCGGCAGCCCTGCGGGACCCCTGCCCTGACGTGCCCCCAGCACAACAACATCCTGCACACAGCAGCAGGCGATGCAGCCAGCACAGCATCCCCAGACCTGCCTCAGGCATCAGGGTGAGCATCCCTATGGCAGTATCCTTGACCAGTGCTGAGACCTACCAACTCATCACACCCCCAGGGTACCCCAGCAGCCCTGCCAACCCATGGGGGCCAGGCTGGAGGAGACACCCCAGCACAGCCATGAGGGGGTGGCACCCACATCTACCAGCAGCATGCCCAAGCCCCTCCAAGGACCCTGTGCCCCACACCCACGTGGGTTGAGAGGCACCCCACAGAGCTATTGCCCTGGCCATGGGGGTCTAAGATTACACAGTTACCCCCCCACATTGCCAACTGCATACCTGCCTGCAGGGTCCCAGCCCTGGGGTTACTACTGGCACCCATAGTGTGGGGCACCAGCACACATGCTGTTGGGTCCCAGCCCCGTGAGCAGAGCTCAGCATCCACACTAAGGGGACTCCAGGACCCATGCGGTGGAGTCCCAGCCCTGCAGCCAGACCCCAGCACCCTGCAGATTTCAGCCCTTACAGCTGGACCAGAGCAGCCATACCATGGGCACCACATCCCTGTGCCTGCACTCAGCGGCTACTCCACAGTGCCGAGACCCCAGCCCTCCACACCTCGCTCACCCCTGATCTACAGCTGGACCCCAGCCCCGAACCACAGCACCCGCGCTGAGTTGTTTCCTGCCCCACAGCCAGCTCCCAGCAGCTATGCCTCGGGCACCCAGCCCCACAGCCAGTCACCAGCATTAACGCAGCGGGGACCCCAGCCCCATAGTCAGACTCCAGTCCCGTTCTTCGGGGACCCAGCACCGTAACCAAATCCCAACACCAACCCCACGGTGCCCCAAGCCCCACAGCCAGACCCCAACACCACCGAGGCTCCCGCCCCATAACGGGCCCCCAGTCCCCGGCAGCCCCCCGCCGCGCGGCACTCACCAGGGCATGCACAGCCCACTGACATCTTCACATGCCTGGCCCGGCCGGGGGTCGCTGCGCGCTGACCGGGCCGCAGGGGTCTCGCATGAGCGGCGCGCCGCGGGTTCCGGCGGGCAGCCCCGCGCGGCCGCGGGCACGGCCAGGGGCGGGCGCGCCGCGGACCGGCGGCAGCGGGGGCGGGCGGGGCGGGGGCCGCGGCGGCGGAGCGGGAGCGGGGGCGGCTGCGCCGGCGGCGGGCGGGCGGGCGCGCCTCTGCGCATGCGCGAGACGTACCGTTCCCCCCCCCCCTACACACACCCTCCCCTTCGCCCGGCGGGCGCGCTGCGTGCGTGCGTGCGCGCTCCCGAGAGCTGCCCGGTGCCGCGCACGCGCGAGCGCGCACCACGCTTCCCCGCCCCCCTCCTTTTCCCCCCCTCTCCCTGCGTCACCCTGAGGGCGGGTGGGAGCCGCCATGTCAGGCAGCGGCGGCCGCCCTCAAACCGTGGTCCTCGTCCTTCCTCCCCGCCAGGCCCTGTGGCACCCAGCCCGGCCCTGGGCACTGTGAGGGGAAGGGGGGAGGCATAGAGGCCCCTCAGTACTGAGGAGCCGCCCGCACCTTGGCGCTTCCCCAGCGGTCTGCGGCCGCCGCAGCAGGGAGGGGACCGCAGCGCAGCCCCCGAGCCCCCGCGGGTCAGGGCTGAGAGCGCCGCGGGCTGGGTAACCCGCCGGGGCCGGTCCTCCCCCGGGAGGTGGCGGGTGGATCAGCCTCTCACCCTGCCAGGCTTCCCCCCCCGTCCCGTCCCGGGGGAGCTCAGCGCCTCTGCCCGGGGCCCTGCAGAGGCCCCGGGCTGCAGCTCCCGGCAGCGCGCCCGGCCCCGACGGCTCTTTGCTGAGGCGGGGAAAGAGCCAGGGAGATGGTGGACGGACAAGCGCAGGGGCAGTAATGAATGCACCATGCGAGCCCAGAGCCTCTCACATCCAGATCCCAGCGCGGCTGGTGGCTGGCTGCACCCGGGAGGCCGGGGAACGTGACAGGGAGTGCTCAGCATGGCTGTTCACCATGAGTGTGCGCACAGCTGGTACCAGTCCCTCACCCTGGGCACCACGGTGGTTGGTGGAGGACCGTGAATGGTAGGGAGGGTTTGCAGGATGTGTGGCACAGCTGGGGAGGTCGTTGCTGGTGTTTGCTGTGTGCAGATGGCAGGGGTTGCTGGGGTCTGTGCTGCACCCCCTGCCATGCAGCGATATCACCATATCCCTCCACCTGCCCAGGATGAGGGCCAGAGAGATGCCAGGGAAGGAGCAGCATCTGCCCCATGAACACACCACTCCCAAGAGGAGCCCCACGCAGCTCTGCAGGACTCTGCATGCCTGCAGCAGGAGCAGAGCCTGGTGTGGCCCCAGCAACCCCATCTGTGGAGGTGGGTGCTGTCCCTCTGCTCCCCTGCCAAGGTGCAGCCCCAGCCCCATGGTGGGAGCAGTGTCCTGGCAGAACAGGCTGCCTGGGGAGCCTGGGCCCCTTCTCCCTGCTGAACCAGCCCATCTACTCCTGCCCAGGTGGGACTCACATTCCTCTTCACTGAGTGGCCTTTAAGCATCACACGGGTTAGAGCTCTCCTTTGCAGGCTGTTCCCATTAGCCTGGAGCAAGCTGTGTGCGTTAAGTGCAGCATCAGGGTGGTCTATTCGCAGGTCTACCTCACCAGGGATACAATCAACACCCGTGCAGGGAGGGGATCTACAGAGCTGGGATGCAACATGCGCATTTTCCTTTCTGCCTGTTGTTTGTTTTGCCTTGTAAACCAACAGGAGTGCCTGGTGCTGCCCCTGGGTCGGGAGAGCACCCCCACTGTGAGTCCAGCTGCCATAAGGAGGTGCATGTAGTTTTCTTTCTGCTTACACCCCAGGGATGCCATGTGCAGATGTGATCCCATGTGCAGGGCTCACAGCAGGCTCTGTGAGGGGCAGTGCTGCAGGGTCCTGCCTCACGCAGGCATGGAGCAGTTCGGCAGGTCACTGCACACCCTAAATGTGCTCCAGGGGGAGGACATGGAAGGAGAGGACAGTTTGGAGCAGGAGGAGTAAAGGAGGTTCTGAGGGCAACATCACATCCCTGTCAGCAGGACCCCAAGTGCTGGGTCATAGGTTTTACCAACGTGACTTGTTCCTTGCTTTAGACATGCTGAGCTCAGAACTACCTCTCAGAGAGGCAACACTCCTGGGGTGCAGATGGAGCCCGAAGCGCTTCCCAAGCTTCCCTGCTTCCTCCGCAGTGCCAGTGGCAAGCGTTGGCCCAAGGAGCCTGTTGTTATGACCAACTGAACCTCCTGTGCCCAGCATCCAGGGGTGTGCTCAGACCCCTCTTTACCAGCTCACATGCAGGACTCAGTGGGTGCTCTCACATGCGGGTCCACAGCCCTGGAGCAGGACCCACCTGCGTGGCTGCTGCTCAGCCAAAGCTTTGGCGAGGCAGAGGTTCCAGTGAGAAGCTTGGTAGGTGCTAGGGGCTTGTTAAAGGAGATGGGGAGCAGCTCCCCCTGGGTGAAAGCCTGCTTGTTGCTAGGGAGGAGCAGACCCTGTGAGGCAGGAGGTGATGTGGGACGCACAATTGCAGATGGAAGTCCCTTGTGGCAGGGGTGGAAGGAAGGAGAGCAGCAGGATGAGCTCCGTGTGACAGACATGCCCATGCTCAGTGGGCAGGCATGCAAGGCTGAACAAAGCAGCTCTATCCTGTGGATCCCCAAGGGAATCTGGCCTGGGGAGGTCCATGCCCCCAGGGACAGGGTAATTAAGCTCCCCCTCCCTGGCAAATCCTGCACCACCAAGCTCCTACCTGCATGTCTGAGCTGCAGTTGTGCTGCTGTGAGCACATCCCTGCACCCCAGGAGATGATCTTGCTGTCTAGGAGCCAAAGGAAAAGTCGCAGGAGGTGACAGCACCCAAAGGGACCCTCAGCAAAGGGTCCCAGAGCAGAGACAGGCCAATAGCTGGGAACACCAGCACCCCTGCCCCTCCTGGGGGAGCTGGCTCAGACTGCAGCTGTGTCATAGAATCACAAAATGCTTTGTATTGGAAGGGACCTTAAAGCTTGTCTGTTTCCAGCTCCTTGCCATGGGCAGGGACACGTTCCACTAGATCAGGTTGCTCTAAGCTCCATCCAACCTGGCCTTGAACACTGCCAGGGATGGGACAAATGAACCAAGCTTTTCCTCCCATCTCTCACATGCTCCAGGCAACTTTCTGCGTGCCAGCCTCATAGAGCAGCACAAGCCCAAACACAGGCTTCTGCCTGGTACTCAGCCCTGCCTGGCGGCCGTGCCTGGAGGCTGCGGGACAGCTCGCGGTGCCCATCTTTCCACCGTAGAGTTGTTCTCCTTCCCCCTTGCCGCCACACGTGCGTGTCTCCCCAGCCAACCCCACTCCGGGTTTGGCTCAATGATGCACTGCCCGCGCTGCTGCGATGGCCACAGAGACACAGACAAGCACCGCTCCCGCGGCAGCTCTCTCCCTGGGCCGCCCCAAACCCGCGGGGTCGCCGCGCCCACGTGTGCGGCACAGCCCGCCGGGGCCGCGGGAAAACGCGTCGCAGCCCCGCCCCGCTTGGGCGCTTCCCGCCAATGACGCCCGCTCAGCCCCGCCCATCGCGCAACGCAGGGCACGGCCAACCCTCCTTGTCCTCGCCCGCCGCAAACATGGCGGCGAAGCCGGAGGGCCTGCCCGCTCTCAAGATGGCCGCTCGCAGCCCCCCCGCGGCCGCACTTGCCCTGCAGGTGCATGGCCGCTCTGTGGCGCGCAGCCGGCTGAGCAGGGGTGCGCTCCCGGCATGCCCCGCGCGGGGGCGGGGCGCGGTGTCTGCCGGGAGCTGTAGTGCGGGGCGGGGGGCGGTCACGTGCCGCGCCCGGCAGTGGCCGCGCTGGGAACGGAGGCGCCAAGATGGCGGCGCTGCGGGGCGGAGCGGTGCCCACCGTGGCTGCGGCCGGGATCGGCGGGGCCGCGGCCGGGGCCGCTCCCCGAGGGCTGGCGGGCGGCGGAGCCCCGCGCTCGCCGCCCCTCCGCGCCGGCAGCTCCCCGCAGGTAAGCGGCGGCGGGGCGAGCCGGGCCGCGCTGTGACACGTGGAGGGAGGCCGGGGCGGCTCCCGCGGCGGCACCACGTGTGCCGGCAGTGGGCCTGCCGTGCCGGCGGCGGGCAGGGGACCCTGCACCGGACAGGGGCGCCCTTTCTGTAGGCGGGGTGGGGGCCCGGTGCTCTCCTGCCGGGGGGGGGGTGCTGGTGGCGGCGACACCGGCGCGAGGAGCCCCCCCGGGGCGGGAGGGCCGCGGCACAGCGCTGGGACACGCTGGGAAGGGGGTCCTGGTGCTCCCCTACGGGCGGTGATGCCCGGTCCATGGGGACTGAAGGCTGGGGGCTGCCGGCAGGGTCCGTCCCCCCCCACGTCGCGGTCCCTGCATCCTTTCTCCGCCCTCCGCCACCTGCGGCCGCGGCAGAGGGTGCGCGGGTTGGGACACGGGTACCCGCCGGTTTCGGTGGCTGGAGCGCGGGTGGAGGACGTGGCGTTCTCCGCGGTGGGGGAGCTTCCCCGAGAGCTTATCCCGGGGGAAGCGTATCCCGCTCCGGGGCCCGTCTGGGGCGCGGTGCAGCCGCCCGTTCGCTGCGTCCCCGCCGCCGCCGGTGGCACCGGTCCCGGTAGGGCTTTGCTGGTGCCGGTCCGGCGCGTTGGGTGTGGGACAAGGGAGCGCGGGGGTGCAGCACCTCTGGCCGGGGCCTGGTGCAATAGCACTGTACGTTCGCTGGGATTTCGGGGACAGCCTCCGAGCCCATGCAGGGGGACGCTGAGATGGCCCTGTCTCTGCCCAGCGCTGCTGGAGCGGTCTGCACTGGGGTAATGGCGGTGTGTTCCTGCCTGACGCTTCCCAGAGGCAGCAGAGGAATCCATCCATGAGCATCCTCTGCCGGTGCCGCGCTGGCTCAGGGTCCCCACCGTGCTCCCCCCGTGGCCTTGCCCTGTGCTTGGGTGTACCCGCGGCACGCCGGGTTCACGTGCTGTGTGTCACCGGCACGGCTCGATGGGGCCCACGGTGGCCTCATTTGTGCCTCCTGGGTACCCCGGCAGCGAGTGCAGCGTCCCCTGCTCCGGCTGGCTGCTGCAGGAGCT